GAGCTAGTTGGTGAGCAGATGGCCGCAAACGTATGTTTGCTGGGACTGTCTCGAGAAGCTTTACTGGATAATACGGGATCACAAGTCAGTATCATTCCTTTAGAGATGCTCGTAGCGAGCAGAGACAAAGGATTCGATCTGAACGCTGATGTTGATAAAATCCCGATAGATCAGCTAGACTCCGTTCATAATGCCTCAAACAAGCGGATGGAGTTCAAAGGAGCTGTCAGACTTACTTTGCAACTCGAGAATGGCGCTAAGCACAGAATTGCCCTCTTTGTCAGAGCAGGAGGCGGCAGAGTTGTGCTAGGTATGAACGCGCTATTAAAATTTGGACTGTTTGGTGCAAACATTAGAAACCTCGCTAAAACTAACAACACAGTTGTCCAGAAATTCGTTCCGCGTAAGAATCCAAGACGGAGAAGACGAAGACAACAATCTGAAGGTGTTGTTTCGAAGGAAGTGTATGTTAGGCCAAAGAATGAGATGTTGTCTGTTCGTCGAGAAGACGTGTCAGAAAAAATTCAGCACCGCGGTGTAGTTTTCGATACGGAAAACAACAGTAGTACCTTCGATGCTCAAGTTAGGGTCAGCTTGGCAGGAGCCAAGCTCAGGAGAGCGGAGGAAGAAGGGAAGCTTGAGCCGCGTGCGCTAAGGAGCAGCAACCTACCAGCCACCCAGACAACATGCATGCAAAGCCCGCCGTAAATCGAGTGTCAAACATTCTCGATCGGGCAGTGAACAGGGGAAAAGAGGTAGCGAAGCCAAATGAGGCTGACGCTGCGCACTGGATGGATGAACTTCGCCGAAACCCGGTCTACCGCGATCTTATAGAATGTCTTGTGAAGGACAAGCTAGAGGGTCCAGTGAAGTTCCAGAACGTGTCATACGAGTGATGTGTCTAAATTTACTTTGGACCAAGGCCGTCTGCTGTTTGCAAATGACCTGGGCTCCAGAGAGGTTGTACCGCCGTCTAAGAGAAAGAAACTTGTCAAGAAAGCGCAAAGGAATGTGAGGCATTTAGGCGCAAGGAGCTTGTTCAGGAAGCTGTCGAAGAGTTTCTTTTGGGAGACGATGAAGCGAAACATCTGGCGCTGGATTGGAAGACGTCGTCGAAGACGTGTGTCCCGAGTCGAAGGCAAATGCAAGAAAGGTACAGGATCTGCTAGCGATGTACCGAAGGCCGAGCGGGCAAAGGATCGAAGCGCACCAGTAGAATCATGTCACCTTCGATCAGATGGAAGCTCCACGAGAGGCCAGACACAGGGCAATCGTCGTCGCCCTGCCCGATTGCCATTTGCAATCACGAGCGCAGACTGATGCAAAAACAACCCCTTAAGAAGGTGCGTGATGCTAGTACCCAGACGGAGAGCTCAAAAGACCACCGAAATGTTTTCACCAATCGCAAATCTGACTACTCCGAAGCGGAGGCGAAGGACCGCGACGACGTGAGAGCAAGGACAGAAGACCCTGTGTCGAGCCGACTAAGTTGTGAACGTGGAACGTGCTATCCCCCACCTGTGCAACCCATCGGTCGAGTCGTAGACGTGGAACATGCTACCCCCCACGCTGTAGAAGGAGCCGACCGAGCTGTGGACGTGGATCGCCATCCCCCACGCTGGACAAGAAGACGACTAAGTATGAACGTGAAATCTATCACCCGCGCTGAAGTAAAGAAGTGTTGTAAGAGTGGGGACGACTCTTCTTGTCGGACGGGCATGTAAAGTCGCCGGGCTCCTTTCGTTCTTCTGTAGTTTTCCATTGTGTTTATTTAGTCCTTTTTAGTCGATTTATGTGCGTTTATTTGGTGTTTCAATGGTTTTACTAGGTTTTGATTGTTTCGTGTCGGGACCAGGCGATCCGGCGCGCATGCACATCTTCTCGGGCCGCTATATAATGCGGCTGCGCTTGGCTTGAATTAGTCTCTACGTCGGTGCTACGAGGACTGCGGTCGTATTCAATCGAGGGACCAAGCCGAGGAGACGTGGACGCCATGATCGCCTGGAGGATCGTTCTTCAATATAGGAATTGCATCATACCCCTGGACACCACGCCGAGCCCCCGCAAGAGCGCCTACCCTGAGGCTTCCTTTTGTGCGTGACAAAATAATAATAAATGATAACAAGTATCACTGAAACTGATGATTGTAATTTCCATGATTAGAAGTAAATGAATAATAAATAATAGATATGATAGGGAACGATAGTTGTTTTGGCAAGTCTGATAAAGTTTCGACGAAAGAGGTCACTACTATGTTGTACATTTAATAAACCTCAACGATTTCGGATGCGTAATGATTATACTTAGAAATAACATCGCGACTATAAAACAGCCAATTTTCAATTGTATGTGCGCTGAATAGCAAGACCGAACTTTTAATTAGCAGTTGAAACTGGAATAAAATAATCATATCAAAAATTATATTGGCTTAAGCAGAAGTTCTCGCATCACATGCAACCGCTGCAGGTGCCACATCGTGCTTGCGATAAATAGGAAATGGCTTCTCCAGGGTGAAGACGGTTTTAGGGGTCCAGCCTCTTCAGGATAAGGGTGTATACAGCCCACCACCGCTGTTAAGTCGTCGACCACCGTAGAGGGAGTGAGGATTAGGCTCCTTCGTTGAGGTTATATGCAGGTTGTATCAAAAGAGGGGCTACAACCAACCAAGAAATTTTTTAATGAATAAAGGTAGTCGTAGTCGTTCCTCTACAACTCATAGATTTTTTGATATAAGAACTGCTGGGCTTCCTCGGGCCCTACCCGAGGCACGGCCTCTCAGTTTGCCCGTAGTTTTGCAAACCGTCGTGTACTAGAATGGACTCAACTGCTACATGACACTTTGTGACACCTTGTCACCGCTTCCTCCTCATCGCAAAATTAAAAATGAGCTTTACCGCTCGAGCTTACGCGGCTAAGAGCTGTGCTTGGTTGGAACACGATAAGCCTTCATTTACCCCAAACAAATCAATAAATCGTTAGTAAACTGCCTCAAAAAGTAGCCTATAATAATCTTCGGTGTGGTGTACAGGGTGTCCCAAAAAATGTGCGCACTGTTTGATTGTTTATAACTTTTTTCTAATGAAGTCTTCCGAGAAGCTTTGGGTACCGTTTTGTAGAGCTGGCTTCAACTTAGATTTACAGTATAAAGCGAATCGTCGATCACTCTTTATTACTGTAGGATTACGGTAGAAACTTCGAGCATACGGTGTCACTGTGAAAATAACTGCCGTTTCAAAAATTTTCGAAAAAATGTGAAAAGTTGTGTAATAAGGTTTTCATAGACGCTGAATTCAATGTTCAACTATGTAAAAGATTGCGAAGTTTTCTAAACAGTGTAATCGCAATTTTGGGGACATTGGTCGGCTCACTTCGCATAACTTTTTAATTAAGCATTATGATAAGTTGCGAACTTCACCCTTAGGTTTAGCAACTCTATTTGTCTCAGTGCGAAAGTTTTCAGGCTGTTTTGTTTGCTTTACGAGGCAAAGTATTGCCTTTCATTGCTCAAAACCCTCTTCAATGTTCCCACCGTAAACATACAGTAATGAAGAGTATTCTATGATTCTCTCCATACTTTAAATCTAAGTTGGAGCCAGCTCTACAAAATGGTTCCCGAAGGTTCTCGAAAGACTTCATCGCGTATTCCTAGTAAGCTGTACGTTTTCTGGAAGCGCATCCTAGGATTTCCTGTTTTTTTCATTTATCGTACATTTTTGCAAATTTTTCACAGTTGATACATTTCCACTTCTTACAACTTTCATTATTGGATATTATTGTGTGGTGACATATATCTCGCTAAATTGTGCTAGACCTTTTCCCTCAAAAACAACCGTCTTGTTTAGTCCAACTCAAAAAATTTTTTCTTTTAGTCTCACAGTCTCGCCTTTACGTCTCTTTTTCCTTTAGTCTTCCTTCTTTAGTCTCACATCTTCTAGATCTTCCAGAAAGTGAGCTGCGTTTCGACCCAAGGGCGAAGGGGGTAAGAGTACATGTTCCTGACATCGCATGATGCTGGTCCAGCATCAAAAGAAGTCATCAAAGAACTCGAGATAAAGAAAGCGAGTTTGACAAGATGACCCCTCTACGTACGCGCAAATCATACCTTTTAAGTTCAAAGCCAAAATGAAAAGCTTGGATCCTCCAAAAAACCGGATGTTCGTCCAAAGATCCCATAAAGCTCTAATTTTCCCAACCATCTAGTTTCCACATCAAGATTCGAGTTGCAGCATAGAAAAGACGAAAATTTGGGCCTTTTTGTTTTTCCTATGCATTTTACAACAGCATCTGCGGAATATGTTATCTTGCGAAGAAAGCCTTAGTTGGCAAAAACTTAGTGATTGTGCACATGACTTAAACGCCGAGACAGAAATTCCGATTGCGGTTTTGATATTAGGCACTCCAAAACTAATGTAGATCTGCCGCTGCGCAAAGGCTGTGATACCATCTTGTGAAAATTGCCCTGTTTCACCGATTAGTCCCGTTTTATTTTCGTGCTATCTTTTTCTAGTTAAAATGTAATGTGTTAGAACTTTGTGTTTGACTTCATATAAACGTGTGGAAGTCAAGCATTCATTTGTAGCCCTGTATGTAAGCAACTGCATGATTTTATCACCTTTACATTAATGGGAGTTGCACTTGTCAGCTGTTACTCGGGAATCTTCAAAAAATTGCTTATACGAAGAAAGTGATAATGTCAGGCAGCGTCATCAAAAAAAGGCAATATGACACACCAGCATGATACAGAGTGCTTGCAGAATAAATATGACTTATGTGAGCAAGAAACCGTAAAATATACTGAGTTTTTGCTTCGAAAGTTTATATCGCTTTCGCTATGCACGACGATTTGCTAAGTTTCCGTTCGCTGTTCTGTGGATAAAATTGAATAACTTTTGTAAGTTTACGGATACAAAAAACTGCCGGTGGTTGTTAGCTGTTAGCTCAGCTTCTGACTATAAGAACAAAGCCGCTCATTTCAGGTCACCTAACAATTGTGACTAAGGATGGCAAGTGCAGATCGAGTATTGCTTTTTGTTATACAGGCAAGCTTGACAATTTTCAAGCTCAGTACTTCATAAATGGTAAAATCTCCGCGTTTGCAATGCTCGTGCGGCTAATTGGACAGTTCTTCCCGAAATTGCACTGTCCCAATTGAAGGTCTCTGTCATGTGACATAACATTTGAAAAAATGCTTGCTATCTGTGCGAATATATCTCTACTTTCATTATGAAAATCAAAAGTGTTATCAGAAGTGATATTACACAAAGCACTCGACCAAATTACGTATTGCTCCATACTTTGCGAGATTGGAAGATCGTAACAAGCCGCATAAAAACGCGAGTAAAATGTTTTAAGAGAATTTTAACCCTATGATAGACCGCTTGCTGGACTTGGAGAGAAGATAAGTAGTAATGCTCCAAGCTCATTAATATAATATCTATTCTGAGGTGGCATCAAGCTATTAATAAATGATCTTCTTCTCTCTCTTGCAGCATAAAATTAATAATAGTCACACGTGCTTTACTGCCCTGGTACTGCTCAAAGTTTATAGCTGAAAGCGATCAGTTTGGCATTTTTCCGCTTAGGCATCGTACACAGCTACAATCCGTTATGAAGATTTCAGTTGGAAGATTCTGATATGTTCTAATCGGTCAAAATTGGCAAGACATACATCGTCCCACTGGAGAGCTGCTTGTACTCTCCAAGTGCGCAATGATTTCCCACCACACCAATGTTCTGAAAAGTGAGACATTGTGCAAGTTACTCTTGCTGCTATCACTTTCAATCAAACTATCAAAGTTGACAAACAAAAACGTAAACAAGTGCAAAATGAAGTACTTTTACGTATATGAGTAACACGCATTTTTCTGAAGTCATGCTTGGGCACTTTGATAAGAAACGCTAAGCGATAGCGATGCATACTAGTCCATACATCACAAAAACTATGACAACAAATCGAAACAAAAACAAGCAAAGCAATAAAAATGACTTTTTTATCGAAAACATCAAACAGCAGCATCCTTCACGTCTTCTATAATGTAAGGGAAAAAACGGTAGAAGTTAAAGAGTAATTTCACTCCTATCGGGATTGAAGTTTGTACAAGCTTCACGTTTCTAATATAGAATCAACTTACAATGCAGTGTTGGCATGGAATCTGCCAACACAAAACGGGAAGATGTAAGTTCCTCCTTTCACGGTGGTCTGTTTGTTGCAGCAGTGGCACACCGAGTGCCCCCTCCCCCCTTCCAAAACGGAAATCCTGGGTGCTGCTTTCCCAGCGAAGTCTGGCCCAACCCTCAAAGTGGGCCAGATTTCCAAGTTCAATTTGCATGATATGGTACAAATCACGTTAACGTAAAGAGATGCATACTTTATGAAATAGCTGGAGTGGTAGTAATTTCGTCGAAACCAACAAATGATGTGATAGTTCAATCATGGTTACATCATGGTAAGCATGATCATCTTTTCACGGCCACTCAGTTCAATCGGTCATACAAAATCATGAAACAAGCAAGTAACTATCGGAAAACCATAGTTGTTTCATGCTTGTTTCATTCTAAACCAAACTATGAATTAATCAGCAGGTAAACACCATTGTTTCCTTATCAAGTGGAGTAATGAAAACAGCACTTCATTTCATGAGACGCAGACGTGAAACCATCATATCATAGTTTAAAATGAAAAAGTACCCCCGACCACTTTTTCGTTTAAAACAATGATGTGTTGGTTTTGCAAGTTAAGAAGAGTGAGGGAGATCATTCTGCAACTTACCATGAGAAAGCTTACTTGTTTACGGCTTAGATAAGGTTATAGGAAGGTGCAAGGCTGGAGACTGAACTGCAAGTTTGGTAAAGTGCAATGACTGCGGGCAAGCATGAGAATGGTTGGAGTTTCGATTTCCTCCAATGACTTTGCTTTGCAAGATAGCATTTCGAGGTTTCCCATTGGATAATTCGTGGTTCCGTTGGGGAAATGATGTGAAGCTGCTGGTTAGCTAGTGTCTTGAAAACCCAGTTAACATGATGGTTTCGACCAAATTACTACCACCCCTGATGTTATAGTATTATATTCTTGCAAAGCACTCAGCTAACAAGGGAATGGTCAGAAATCGAAAAATTCAAACAGCACAACATTAGATGCAGCATAAAACGCTGACTCCAGATCCGTCTTCCTTACCTGCAGACCACTGTTGCAAATGGAATTATAAACCGTTAGACTTGGTTGTACAGGGCCATTCCTGGCTCAATGTTAGACCAAAACGTGCAGCTAGGTCACACTTCATAAGACCAGTACCTAACGGTGAGCGAAAAGGGGAATAATGTGCTTAATCTCGCAATTTTTGTGTGCGATTTTTTTCGCTCTAAAGCTGGTTATAACTTTGCTTACAAAGGCGCTCTGCAGATATGGAAAACAGATTTGAAATCAGCTTTTTGAGTTGCATCGAATGGTATGCAGCTTACTTGGATTGGCCACTTCGACTTCTGACCATTCCCTTATAAGGTAAGCACTCAACGATGTTGAAGTTGTTCGTAACGCAATATCTGCAACATCTGCAACAAGTCAGGGACCTTAACTTGTTTTTAAAACTAAGGGCCGCATGCACTAACCTCCCCGCTGGGGAGGGGATCGCAGCTTAAAAGAAAGCTTTATATTTCGAAACTCCAGATACCTGGATTTCACGCTGTGTACCTATCCGTAAGTATTCCTGCTACCCTTCACTATGAACATGTTGAGGAGGAGCGAGAAGCTGTACGAACCGCATTTTCCAGCTTTCGTATGATCCCTGATGATCCCCGGCGCTTTTCTTTGAAGTCATTTTTCTTTCTCGAAAATTAACGAAAACTTTCCAAAGCTGTACTGAACATCTAACACAACAGTGCTAAGCATGTTGCTGATGAGAACAAATGAGTTTTTGAAAAGTCGAATTTTTCGGTAAACCTCAAATTTCGACCTGTGGATCGCCGAAAATTTCATGACTTCAAAACATCATTTGTTCTTATCACGAAATGCTTAGCACTGTCGGGTTGGATAATCTGCACAACTTTGGAGGTTTTTCGTTAACTTCGGAGAAAGAAAAATGACTTTAAAGAAAAGCAGCGGGGATCGCCAGGGATCATACAAAAGCTGGCAAATGCGGTTCGTACAGCTTCTCGCTCCTCTTCAACATGTTCATAGTGAAGGGTAGTAGGAATACTTACGGAGAGGTACACAACGTGAAATCCAGGTATCTGGAGTTTCAAAATATAAAGCTTTCTTTTAAGCTGTGATCCCCTCCCCGCGGAGATGTTAGTGCATGCGGCCCTAAGAGTGTTTTATGCTGCAGTCGCTGCAGCAGTTGCGGTCGTATTAGGGCGGGCAAAATATCGATCGATCGATTGTCGTTGCTGCAGCGACGGCAGTTTGAGACAACCTTTAGAGTATATGAGTATTGAGCACATAACTTCTTCTTGCTACAGTGAAAACTTGGAGCCGAACACTTCGCCCACGCGGAAAGGCTCTTCGAAGACGAAGGCGCAAAAGCACTATTAGTTAGAGGCAGCGTCCAGACAAGTCTGGACACATGGGGATCTTAGATGGATAGTAATTTTGGGGCCCCAACTAAGTCACTGCCCAACCGGCAGCTCAGGTATTGCTCTAACGACTGAGATATTCCCCTCGAAACTGGACCCCGCGATCGTATTTCGCATGGATTCATGGCGCAAGGCGTGTGTCCTGGCGCGAAACTGCCATGAATCCATGCGAATACGATCGCGGGGTCCAGTTTCGAGGGAATATCTCAGCTGTTAGAGCAATACCTGAGCTGCCGCTTGCGCAGTGCCTTAATTAGAGCCCCCAAAAGTATTATCCACGTGAGATCCCATGTGTCCAGACTTGCCTGGACGCTGCCTTTAAGCGGCCGCGAACGCGGCGCGCGCTTACCCTCATTACTGTAAATCCTGCGCCTCATGCCCTCTGCGGCTAATAAAGCCGCGTTCGCACCCAAAGATATTGCGCGTTCGTCATGCGGTAGCGTATATATGTTCGTAGAAGTGCAGTCACAAAAAATTGGCTTTAGACTTCAAAGAATTAAAAACTCTTTATGACAGGATGATTTCCTTTAGAATGTCATAGTGTGAGATTCCGTGAAGAGAAGGAAAAAGGAGTTGTTTGGGGGCTTTCAATCGGGTGGGGTGGGGTAGGGACGCTTTCAAAAAACTTGGGCTTGACCTCTTGCTCAGCTCTGAAATGTATGGTTGTAACTTTGATAGATAAAGCTCAGGGCTCGGCACGAGCTGGCACCAGGGAATTTTGAAAACGAAGTCCCCTTTGAAATTTGCCAATTTTTACGAAGTCCCCCTTGACTTTTGGGAAATTTTACGAAGTCCCCTTTGATCCTCAACGATATCCCCTCTAAAATCCTAAAAAAATCCCCAAAATCCCCCAAAAAACGAAACGTCGACTAAAAAAAAAAAAAAAAAAAAAAAGGTCGTCGCCACCAATTTTGCGTATGTCTTCGCCCACAAAAACGAAACCCCCTTTGCTTTTTGCCCCAAAAACGATATCCAGCTTGCCCCGTGCCAGCTGGTGCCAGGCCCTGATAAAGCTTTTGAAGTGTGATTATGAGCGTTGGTCATGCTACAAGCTTTCGTAGCATCTGTTAGAGTGCCTTCATACCGCGCCGTGAGCCGCCGCTAGCCCCCTGTATAGCCGCTTTTGCGCACTATATCGTACCCAAAGTACTTTTTAGGACGTATGAAGATATAATATTTGTCTTCAGCTTCAATCCTCCACATGATCAAGTCTGTGCAAGATCCAGTTTTAGGTCTTGGGGCCAAGATACTGGGATGTGCGCAAAGCGGCTATAGGAGCCTAGTGGCGGCTGCCGGCGCGGTATGAAGACATCTTCACAGTAATACAACGCACATAACTTGCAAGATATTTGAAAAAATAGGTGCACACTCATCCCTTTACCTACACGCTCACATAGCTTTATGCCACATGGTCATAAGATTTACGAAGCCTGCTTAAGCGTAATTGGGTGGCTTTTCCATTTTATTCGGATCTAAGTGATCAATCACAAGTAGCTCACGAGAAGCTAGCAAGTTCGATTTATTAGAAAATCAGGGAACTTTGGATTCATGGCCAGTTTTTTGAATGTTAATATGTGCATAGCATGTAGTGATCAGCTCCTCTCTACTCAAGAATATTTATGCTGCCGCATTAATACATGTTCTTCCAAGCAAATGGCTTTTAAATTCACTCTCCTTCCACACAATATCTTAAGTATTAGGTTGTCAAGAAAATAATGTCATTTCAGGTCGTTTTGGGTAAAATTGATATTACTCGAGAACTAGAGCATGTCCGAGGCCAAAATTTTATGCTTAAAGTTACGGAGCTTTGAGTATACAACGGCATTGTGGGAAGGGCCCAGTACTACTGGGGCGGAGTCTCCATTTTCCATTTTTCAATTTTTTCTTGGTTTCTAAGCATGAAAAAATATAGCAAGTGTACTTGTGGATAGAATGTGTCTTTTACATGCAGGAGCAAGTGAGAGGTTCCCAGGATTTTCTAGGGCAAAAATCCAATTTTTGGCATCAAGAGTTGATCATATGTTTTGGCTCTGAACTTTGTGTAAGCAACAACTTCTGCCAGTGTTTGGAGGCCATATTGTAGAGATTCCTTTGCTCTATCGAGTGGTACCCCTCACATATTTTTTAAGATTTGTCTTATGGCTTTTCCATGAAAAAGTTATTTTCTTGACAACCTGATATCTTTGGAGTGTCACTTTCGAGACATCATGTTCGCCTTCAGATCTGCATTGTATCATGCTGGGAACCTCAATTTTTCCTGGGGCGTCCTATGTTCGGAATGAGAAGCGGTCACGAGTATTTGCAACTTCTTTTGCTAGAAAAAGAGACTGGACAGTCTCTGAGGAATAAGGTTTTTAGGGTTTTGATCATACACAAATGGGGCGAATCAGATTATGTGATACAAAATTATTTAGGTCCCTGGAGCCGCACTTGCGGATGGGCCAGTTGAGAAGTTTTTTTATCAAAAACTTGATCATTTCGATCCCACCGATACTGCTACCTGGCGACAGGTGCCTTCTTTTCGTTGCATCAAATTTTCGTTGGTCTTATTGAAAAAATTAAGTTTTAGCGTTATTTCCAAAATTCCCATTATTATAATGGCACGAATGTGGTCTTTCTAATGATAGGAGGTGAAGGTCCCGAAAATATTGCGTGGGTAAGTGAAATTTGAACGACTAAAAAACCTTTAATAGAAGTAATCAGAAATCTTCTAGCAATTCCTGACTCTATAATAGAAAAAAATATGAATGTCCTGGTTGTACAGTTATACGCAATTCAGTGCTGGGTTATGGCTGAACTTAGGTTGCGAATGAGAACTACCCATTCGTCAAGTGGGCAAAGCAATACGGAGCAATAATGTTTGCACTTGAACATCGTTTTTACGGAGAGAGCCGACCAACTACGTTAGTCCTATTGAAGAGTTGTGCATCTGTAAATATTCAAATATTTATTACTTTATTCAAACTGATTCAGTGACCAATCCGTTGAAAACTTACGTTATCTGAGCAGCAGGCAAGCACTGGAGGATTTAGCATCTTTTATCAAAGCCATGAACAAAGAGCACAATCTAGAAAATCCGCGTTGGATAACCTTTGGTGGATCATACCCGGGTAACGTCTGCTTATCATCAGAAGCTGTGTAGTTGATTTCTAGAGTGATTGCACAAATTTCTTATAATTTATGCGACTGCCTGAAAGCTTCCTCTGCAAACACCATCATTCACATCAGTAAAAAATAACAAGAAGAGGGAATTTGGATAAACAACGAGAGTACAGTGATTTGGAGGGTTGGAGTGGTGATCAATAGGGGTATGATTGTATGATCCAAAGAAGCAAATCTTGTAAGAAGAAAAACACTCGCAGAAAGACCACTTGCGATGCTTTAAGGTGAAATGTGGCCTCCTGGGAGAGGTAGGGCAGAAATCTTGTTTGTTACTATCTTTGTAGGCCTGAAACTGCAAATCTGTAGAGCATACGAATTTCGCCGTAATATGATTTAATAGACCAAATTAATAAAGTAGTTGATTTTTACCGTAGTAGATCAAACCTGCTCACATGAAAAGCAAAACAGAACCGTTCAAATCTTGTGTAGAAAGCTAATCGTGTTTCTGTAAACATTTTTGCGATTTTGCTTGGGTTCACTTTATGCTTCTTGACAATCTCCTGTCGCTATGCTTGAAAAGGCTGTTTTCTAGGAGTTCAAAATCTGCGGAGCTCTTATATAACAATTGCAATAAATCATGGTGGCAGTAAGGAGATAGATGAAAAACAAATGAAGATACAAAGACATTGAAGTTTGTTCAAAGAACAATTATAAAGCCATTATTAAGTGAAGCTGTGACCAGCTTACCAAATAAATCATATTCCGTCACCTCCGTCTGGCGAGGTATATATTAGGTTGAACCGAAAGTTCTTTTGCACCAAATTCAAAAATTCATAACTTCTGAGTTTTGCAGCCGATTGGAAAGCTTTTATTTTTGTATGAAAGAGCAATTCATTTTCTTTATAGAGGTACCTTAGCGGCTTTCTGTTAAGCATACATTGCTTAGATAGAAGCGGTAGAAGAAAATTACTCAAATTTTGAATTTTCTGTGTAGAGTCATAAAAATCGGAAACTTGCAACAAAAATCGGAGCAATCGGTAATGCAGGTTCTTTCACCAGCTCTTTCTAACATTGCAAAGTTTGCGCCGATTGAGCGTCTCTATGAAAAGTTATGATTTTCGAGCAAGCAATACAAAAGGGCGAATTTAATTTATTTTGGCATTTTTCAGGAAAAATTGTGGCATTTTTCAGGAAAAATTTTGAATGCTTCGATTAAAGCTTAAAAATTACTGTAGAAAGACGAGTATTCGAATGTTAGCGTATAAATCTACTAATACTTTTACAGAAATTCGGTTGTAGAATGAGAGAGAAAAGAAGAACTGAGGCGAAGAGGGAGTAAATCATTGTTCCTCTACTTTTTTGAACTCGTAGTGAATCTCATATATTACGTAACAAGATTATTCTTCGGAGTTGAAGCTATTTTTAAATGAATGTCTTTCAAAGTTTTTGCAATAATGAAATTTAGGCGATCTATCACTTTGGGCTCGTCAAAAATATCCAGACCTAATCGCTGGTGCAGTCGGCAGTTCTGCTCCAGTGGATGCAGTGGTAGACTTTTGGGGTAAGGATATGATAGACGTATTACGATGTTCACTAATCTCACCCAATTAAGGCTACTTAGACGTAGTCGAAAACGCTCTGCGTTCTTATAGTAATGATTGTGCTGAAAAGGTCAGAGAAGGATTTGCAACTATTGAAAACCTGATGCTTACTCCAGAAGGACGCAATCATCTCTCCGATGTTTTTGTGTAAGGAAATTCAGCATATACGAACAGAGTAGATCAAACTCACTTCCAGGTTGGAACCGAAGTTCTCAGAGTTTGCGAACATCACTTATAACGACAAACAATTCTTTTATATGACACTTTTTGGGAAGTTTCAAGAGGCAGTTCAATACAGCGAAGACAATATGGTTCATTATTATTATAATACAATTTTCATTTGCTTCAGAACTAAGGCCCGTATGCACGTACATCCCCGCTAGGGAGGGGAGGGGATCTGAGAGGGGATGCGTCATATCTCGCTACTCTAGATATTTTTCTTCTTCCTTCTCTATCTTGCTTATGAAGGTTCTCATACCCTAATATCTGCACATAAATCATGCCAGGTTACTGGCATAATTGATTAGATTTTCACTATTTTGTGTGATTCCCTGGGGATCCCCTGCTGATCCCCAGGGGATCACCTATCATTTTCAAAGTGTTTTGTCTTCCTGAAAACTCATTGAGAATGCTGTAAAACTGTACTGTGGATATACTACGGCACTACTAAAGACGTTTTTAGTAAAAATAAGTGAAATCTCTAGATATCGAAATCTTCGGTAATCTCTGGCTCGAAAGCTAGGGATCATCAAAAAATTCACAATCTTCAGATTCCATTTCTTATGTCGAAAACATGCTTAGCAGTGCCGTAATATATCCTCAGTACAATTTTGTGGCGTTTCCATTGAATTCTCAGGAAGATAAATGGCACTGAAATTGAGAATTGATCCCCTGGGGATCCCCACGAAATCCGGGATCATACAAAATGGTAAAAATCTAATCAGTTATGCCAGTAACCTAACATCAGTTATGCGCAGGTATTAAGGTATGAGAACCTTAATAAGCAAGATATTAGGTTGTCCGGAAATTAATGCAGGTTTTGCATATTCTCACTTCAAAGCGTCATAACTCCTTTAAAATCGCATATTTTGAAATGAAATAAAAACTGTTGTGATCAGCAAGTTTTTTTCTATCTGCCGCATTTTCTTTTGCAACTGGAGCTCCAACAACAAATTACTGAAAGTCAGAAAGTAAACAGAAATTTTTTTGACAAGGTCATACTTGGCAAATTGTAAACTCCTACCGAATATGAGTGTTCAGCCAGAAACTTCTGCAGCTTATAGCCACAGACCAGCACTACATATATAGCTATGCAGAAAACTTTTTAGAAATTTTCTGCGAAAGGAAAATTTCAGGAATCAAAATTTTCCATTTTTTCGATATTTTCTACACGGCTGCGATCACCGATAATTTTGATTTTTTTATCAACTCACCAAAAATAAAGCCTGGGAGGTACCAGTTGAGATAATATCTGACTGCACTGGCTTCACTCTTCAAGCACGATGAGAGACTTTGACGGTTGCTTTCTTTAGAAAAGCCTTCTACGCCATGGATTGGCCACGACAATTATTCATATTAAACCTCAGTTTCTCTACTCTCACAATTGCTCAAATGAAGCGTTACTATTTACTTTGTAGGTTCATTCAATATCTTGCTTCAGCTATATTACCATGGAAATATCCCTCTTGCCGAATAAGTTCAAGCCAAAATAGTGCAAAGGGTAAATTTAGTAATTTAAAGCTTCATCTTCGGATGGTTATAGATTTTGAACAAATAAAGTTGGTCATAGGAGTAATATATATATAAGAGAGAGCATGAAGAGCTGCTTCTTTTAGTATGCGAAATTGGTCGAAAGATGCACATACACAGAAGAACGACTCTTTTGAAATTGCATTTGCAGAAACCTGCATTAATTTCCGGACAACCTAATAGAAAAGGAAGAAGAAGGATACCTAGAGTAGCGAGATATGATGCATCCCCTTTCAGATCCCCTCCCCTCCCCAACGGGGATGTACGTGCATACGGGCCTAAGAATATTTACCGATTCAACTTTACTTTTACCACAGCTGCCGCTAGTAGCCTATAGCCGCAGCAGCCGGCAGCATCCCGTAGCCATCGTTAGCCGCTTTGGCGCTATACCACTCCAGTTGACTCAAGAAGTGAAAACCGTGCTAGGGAGTAGTTTGTACGCTGATAGCGAATATAACATGCATCTCGATAATAGCGTTATCTGATGGAGTTAACGTAAGAGGACTACTGTAAGGGGTCAAAGCCACGATTTGCCTCTTTGTCTAGGCGAAGAAGAGGGGGAGGGGGGTGGCATGTTGAATATGAATATGTTAAAGGCAGTGTCCAGGCAAATCTGGACATACGGGTTTTTTGCCTGGAAACTGTCGAGGAGGCTCTAGCTAAGGCACTGCCTAAATTGCAGCGCAAATAATTGATTCACGGCTGAGAAATCCATCCACAGACACTCCGCTGCTGCGCCGTGACCGTAACACTTAGGATTGGTCCCAGCACGAACGTAGTGCGGAAGTGAGCGAAGTCGTTTTGGGTTACGGTCATGGCGCAGGCGCGGGGTTTTCGGGGACGGATTTCTCAGACGTGATTGAACAATCTGATTTAACAATCAATCCCTTAGGCAATGCCTTAGCCAGTCCCTCATCAATTTCCAGGCGGAAAAGCCAGATTGCGCCCAGATTTGCCTGGACACTGCCTTTAAAGGCAGCGTCCACAAAAATTTCGTCTTCCATGATTTTAGTGTTATCGGGTCTTTCTATGGCGCTGATTCCGGATATGAAGTTCGAATTACCAGATAACTCCAAAACTGTCCCTTTCTGAAGCCCTATTTTGGCAGACGTGGACGGCCCCGCGCTAGTCACGTCGTATTCAAGAGGAATCCTCGACGTGTGCAACAGTGCCACATCACAAACTATGCGTCTCGACGTTGCTTGTCATTCAGAACACGTCAAGGAGCACTCCTTGGATGTTCGGAGCGCAAAAAAGGGGGTGGAGCGCAGAGAGGATCTAGGTTCTTATCTTCTTTTGTAAGCAACATTAAAGGATCGAACCAACGCTGTTGGTCTACTTTCAAGGCCGGCTAGTAGGATAAGTAATAACCTGGGGTGAACAGGTTTGGGTCGACGCTGCCCTTGAGTACGGTAATGGCATTTTTCACTTTAGGGTGGGTATTCGGTGGGTGTGTCAAGACTGTAATCTGCTCAAACCTTTGCTCAAAAGCGGCGTCCAACCAACATTTAAGCTACTCAGATGAATGTACAGTGTAATAAGAAGAACAGTTACATTGGTCTTGTTCTCGTTTCCTCCAAAGAGGAATTGAACCTGCAAAGTAGACGCTTCCAGCGCTGCACCCACCCACGGATCGCTCGGTAATGCGTTCTGCATGACAAGCAAGTTCGTGACGCATACTGTGTGATCGGTACTGTACCAACAACGAGGTTCACTGTTGCACGACGTGACTAGTGCCGAACACTCGTCCACGTCTGCCAGAACATGGCTTCGGAAAGGGCAATTTTGGTTTTTTCATGATTTGCATCTTATATCCAAAATCAGAAATCGGATCTGTGTGAGGGTTTGACAACAATAGAAGATGAAAGTCAAAATTTTATGTGGAATCTGCCTTCTAAACATTGATGACCACTTAAAGTCCGAGTTGTCCGCCTTTTGGGACCAAAACCTGTCACTTATAGTTACACTAGCTCTGCAAGACTGACAGGTATGGAAAATATTCGTTGGTTCAGCGCAGAAGGTTTTGTCACAGAATTGTCTATGTATTTACTGCTACATGCCGTAACTCCATGATAAGTTTATTGTAGCGGTCGAGCATGATATTCATAACCAGCATGCTTTAGAAACCTTTTTAGAAAATTTAGAGCAATTTTGGATTTTTAAGCCAACTACTATATATTGACAGTAACTCGAGAAATTGGCGTTACGTACAATTGATAAATGCATAATCGGTATGTTATTTCTGTTTCTCGCGTGCGTCAAACAATACCCCTAGATGAGGTTTTGGCCAAATAGACGGTGTTCATTTCTTGGGTCAATGATGTGCGATAGCGCCGAAGCGGCAAACGGCGACTGACGGCTGCTGACGCGGCTAGGGCGGTAGCGGTATAAGGGCACCCATAGACAAATAACTATTTCTATTAAACATGCAGAAAGCAGTGACTTTTTCTAAATTTAGGGCAGATTCATTGATGGTTACGGTATTCCTCAAGTTTGCAAAATAATGACTGAGGGTTCGGACCCCTTGCTGCAACTTCAAAATGTGAACAAGTATATGAGTAAGTGTCTAAAGGAAAGCAGATTCAAATGATAATTCATACTTTGTATCTTAGGCTATAGGGGCTTCACTTACACTTCTAACAGCTACCAAGAAATGATAGAATATCTGCGAAGAACAGAATTTGGCAGTGAACTTGATTTTGACTGTAAGTGAATTTGTATGGCTTATATTGAAAAACGGTCTTTTGTCAAGAAAACGCACTTCATTCCATACGTACAGTCTGTGCCAACGATATGCTACCTTCCGATTAGCTCAAGGGCATGCCGTGTTCGCGGGAGTAACGCTTGATCGGCCAAATTAGCCGCATCGATCAGAGGGTGCTCAAATGCCCACGCGCTTCGGATGCGTAGTTGCTAAAAAACGAGAGCACGTGGTGACACGTGACAAAAACGTGACATGAACTGTAAATAATTTTGTTTTGATTTTCACTTACCTTTATAGTTCCAAGCATTTTAGCTCTGAAAGGTATCGTCGATTTGTTGATCGCACGGACTGCTCGAACATTACGGAACGCGCGCGACTGAAATGTTGCCAGAGCACGACTTGTACAATGGCGAATTTGCACTGGAGCAAGCGTTTTACCTCGCGGCGCGTGCTCCGCATTAACGTGCAGTCTGTGCGGTCAACGAATCGACTATAGCTGATATCGACACTCCACACGAATTTGTTGGAAATTTCATTGAAGTTGATGATGAAAATGAATTTACTCAACAATTTTCAGCGAGTTCTCGAAGCTGGTTATGGCAAACGTGCACTGAGTTTGGCTACTACCAATCGACTGATGGTGGTCCAAATGGAATTTTTGGCACTGGCACACCATTGACGTATGTACTTTGCTGCAAATTAAAATACCATGTGTGCATCATGAATTACAAATGACTTCCGAAAACAGTTGGTGAGATTCAGTTTATACTTCAATATGTGTGCTGATGTGTTTGGAGATGCATACAATAGTACAGCCATAGCAGCAGCCGTTCACAGAACGCAAATGGAATACGGTGGTTCGGAGAGATATAAAGTGAGCCAGCAATTGAATAACTTGGACTTCACTAATAGGGTGTTTTAAAAGTATGCACAAACTGTTTGACCGTCAATTACTGTCTCCCTACAATGTTTTTCGCCAAACTTCGCGTATCACCGTGCAGAGCTGACTTCGACTTAAAACAGTATGGAACAATTTTCTGCATGCTCTTCGTTACGGTAAGGCCTACGAAGCTTTATAGAGGGTTTTAAGCCATGAGGAGCAAACCTCGCCTCAAGAAAGAAGTCAGACATTCTAATCTAAAGTTCCTCATGCTATAGTAATCAGAGCTACTGTCTTCAAATGTGGAATTGGCATTGTAGCGTATCTCATACAAGCTACGCAGGGTATACTGCATAAACAATTTTTTAAAGGTTTTTACAAGTGGGATTAAAATCATCTAGAGAGCTCAAAAAGTCGTGAAAAGTAGTGAAGTGATTTTATCATGCGCGAGACATAACATTTCTGAATTTTTCTGAATTGGCTTTTTCAAAATAGCGCTGTATGTTGGATCCTACCTAATCCTGCAGTGGGGAAGAGGAATCAATGAATTGTTTCATAGTGTGGACATAAGTCGAAGACAGCTCTTTGAAATAAAATATAAAAGTCGAAAAGATTCCTCGAGAAGAGATAATTCAACGATCATACAGTGTCTACATACTTTTGGTACATCCTGTGTAATTACAGTCAAAGTATTGATTAAACTCAAACACAAATTTTCTTTTACCCAAAAAACTATTACCGCTAGAGATATTCATATATGCGTGTTAGAACCTTGCAACGGTCTAATTTATTCAAGGTGACAAGAGCGCGAGATTCTGACCTCAGCCGATTTTAGGGAACAAATGTTGTCATTCCCAATGGATCCGTCGATCCTTGGCATGCACTGGGCAAATACACTTCTAATGACATATCAGTCGTTTGGTACCTAGTAAATGGTCTGTTGTAATTGCTCGAGGAGACAGATGATAGTTGAAAATTTAGGGACGGCCCATTGTGCGGATATGTATCCACCTTCCGATAAGGACAAACCTGGCTTGAAAAAAGTTCGCATTTTGATTGAAAAGAGCCTTGATAAGTGGCTGAAAAGCAGAATAATAGATAAAGATGGTACTTACTTCAAAATTTGATATTGCTAGAATTAACTGACTGATTGCAGAAGCTCAAATAAAAACCCGGACAAAACCGCAAGCCCAGGCCTTGCTGAGGCCGGAACAACGAAAACCATTCGTAAAGAGACTCACTACTGTAGAGGTAATCAATGTCGCTTATCTGCTCTGAACTGAAATATACAAATGCCCTTTTTTCCAGACTTTTCCGGAATGGAAGCACAACAAAAGGGCATTCTTGGGCAGGCCTCCTCATGGTCTTTTACCTCCACCTGATAAGGTTTAGCTTTGTTTGCTGATTTCTTTGCAAAAACTCTGTCTGTTTAGATCACTTGTGATTTTCAGGGTTACAGTAAACGCAACGCAGCCTACAAGAAAATGTATTTCCTTCAGCCATTTGACCATTTTGATAATCAAAATCCAAACTACTTTGAACAGGTTTGAACTAGTTCGATTAATAAAGCAGCATCCGGCTATTTGCGTAGTAGATAAGGATTAATTTCGAAACTGGCTGGCAAATCATCTGTGCAATCAACATTTAGAAAAACAAATACTCCTGTTGTTAGACAAACAGCAGTTATGTTTTCTCCAAGACGGGTTTTCAGCGGAAATATAATTTGGTAGTAAATGTAATATCTTTCTCCATCATTTCGTATGATTTGAATTCCACTGACTTTTGCATTAAAAAATAATAGCGGACTATTGAGGATGATCTATACTACAAACTTTTCATGACGACTTCTCATCGAAACTGTGTTTGTGTAGTGTTGCGAAGGAAGACTGCTATAGGCCGTCCGCGCACGGCGCGGACGGCAAAGCTGTCGCGTCCATCGAAGACAGTTCGTGAGCGGAAGAGGCGCAGAGAAAACAAGCAGCGAGAGTGCACGAGAAAAGAGGAGTGACGAGCGGAACACACTTTGCGCACTATCCGCGCCCTGCGCGGACGCCTACTAAGATTACACTTTTTAGGCTATTAGTTGCGCTGTCGGATTAGTCGTTTGAATTCTAATGATAGTACTACTTATTTTTTTAAAAAATACAATCTTTTTTCTGAGTTCTGCTCAATGTCGCCGAAAAATGGTAATTATAATATCCATATGAAAACAACTGCACTTTGTTGGTAGTTTCCTCGGAAGGAGTGAGTATACATTACTAAGCTTAGAATAAAATAGATATCATTCTGGGTAGAGGACCATTGATGCCGACAAGCTCCATCCACGCGGACAGTCAACACGAGCTGTAATGGAGAGAAACGCGCATTTGTTGCAGATCTTATATTGCGCGAGACCTTCCTTTTCGGCGATTTAATGTCCACTACCCCTTCTTCTTAATAGATATGCTAAGAAGTTGGAAGAGCCCAAATTATTGTTTGATGATTTGCTGCACTGAGAAGGTCTGGAGCTTTATGAATGCTGTGGCGATTAAATAACGATTTATTATTCGTTCAAGAAGAAATCCTCAACAGACTAACGCATCTAAGCCATTAAAGCTTTCCTTCAGAAAAACTTGTAATTATAACAAAATCTAGCAATCACCACATGCTTCGTCATTTTCTGTTCTCATTTGTGCCATTTCAAGCTGTCGTTTTACTTCTCTTACTGATGCCTTTATCGACCGAACCTATTTTCTATTTTTTAAATAAGATTTAATCCAAAGTTTTGCAGCAAGTGCTAGTAAATTCCCAATGGGCTAAGTCTGGTGGTCCCAATTTCTTGAAAATTGGAGGAGAATCACCTCAAACTGATAAATGGGTAGCAAACGAAGACTTGCCGTATTTGCAATGGGCGAAAAAATATGGAGCCACTGTGCATTCACTCGAGCACAGATACTACGGCGAAAGCATAGTTGGAGGGTATGTATATGCATGTATTAGGTTGATGCAAAAGGAATGGCCGATTTGCGAATTCTCAATTTGATGTGCTATAACTTTCTAAAAGATCCACATTTCTGAATGCGGTAAAGACTCGCAGAAGCAGCTAACCTTTCGCAACAAGGCGCAAACTTACTTATAATCAAACCATAAACAGGAAGAGAAATACGGGCTAAAAGACAAAAAAGGTTCTTCTGCGAGAACCTTGTATTTGGCAATTCATAACTTCCTTCAAAGTTTCTAAGTGTGAATGAAAAGTGGCCTATCTTGTAGCCGCAAGCCAGTAGTACAAAATACAATAAAAAGAAGTCGGACAAAAAAGCTTGCGAGAAAGAAAAAATTGAAATTCAAAATTTCTTAGTTTTTTCAACATTTTTTTCTGTGCCTCAAAGTCCGGAATATAGAATCTGATTTTCTACGTACTGAACAGCTGGATGTTTTTGCAAACATTGCTAATAAATGTCCTAGCTCTACGCTTACAGAATTGAGCAAAGCTTCGGCGACTGACTTCCTCAGAAGAAAATTATGGGTCATAAAATGACCGCAACAGCTACCCATGTTTAGGCGCCGATATCTCAGTCTGAATAACTTCAAGGAAAGCAGTTAAGTATGCATAGTGAAGAAAATTTCTATTACATACAATAGCTAAATTTGCGAAAAAAATCTCATTGATACGCGCTTGAATTCTGGCCGGAAAAGTGAATGCGATGAAATACTGAATTTGGATGCGGTTATTTGAAGCTCAGTAACTTTATAAGAAATGAGGATGAGAGCCCTTTTCAAGCACCGTCAGATAGAGCATGACTACAGCTTCGCGACAATATACTGCATCTATTGTAAAGAAGAAGTATTGATGGAATAAGTTGCCCTGAAAAAAGGCTTGGAAAATCGGCCATTTCTTTTGCATCAACCTAATAGTTCATGTCGATATACAATCTTGAGTGAATTACATCTAGGACATCGCAAAATCCAAATCCAGACCTTAAATATTTGTCTTCATTACAAATGTTGTATGACATAGCAGACTACATACAAAGCGTCAACTACCACACAAAAAATAGTGGTCCATGGATTGTTTTCGGAGGCTCGTATGCAGGTAAATAACCGAGAGCGACAATATGTCCAGAATAAACGATAAATAGTAAAGTATTTACAATATGTGATTCCCCTTGTGTTATATCAAAGGCTTACATTTATCACAAGTTGTAATCACGTCATTGTTTAGGCAACTTGGCTGCATGGGCGCGACAACTTTTCCCTGAATTAATAACTGGAGCGGTTGGTTCATCTGCACCCGTGGAAGCTAAATTGGATTTCTATGGTTAGTTTATAGCTGATTTTGCGAACATCATGTCGCTGCTCTCTCTACTAACAAGGAGAGGCTACTTAGTCGAAAGCAGCAATCCAGATGGGACATATATCATCTTGAAGCGCTTGAAACGCTGATTCTAAGTTTTGTAAAAAGAGTTGTGAGGGGTGTTTTCCTCTGAGGTTGAGGCGCCTTACAGCAGAACTCCCCTTATCTACGAGCACTGTGGAGGAGTACGATTGGTGGCAACTGGACTAGTGAGAAGTAATTTGAATGAAGATTACAATAAGGATTATAAAACTCATATTACTTTGGTTTTTTTAACACTTCTGACTTCGGTTAGCATCAATATAATCGGAAATTTCAGGCTTTAGTTCTCCAAAGCCCTTTAAAAGCTCAATTTTGCAAAAAATTGCGATAAAGTTGCATGTGAAGGGAATCAAAGGCTTGACACTGTCCTTGTCAAGCAAGTCACTTACCACTAAGGCAGTTGCCACCAGTTGGTACTTTTTTAAAGTGCTCATAGATAAGAGAGACTTGTCAACCCTAAAGTCAAACACCCCTCATAACTCCATCTACAAAACCGTTTCCAGCAGCGTTCCAAGCGCTTCAAGATGATATATGTCTCATCTGGATTGGTGCTTTTGTCTAGGTATCCCCTCCTTGTAAGTTTTTCAATGGCGTACTTGAAATCTCACATGCAGGCAGTGCCTTGCATCTTGCAAGGCAGAAAATCATAAAATAATAGTTATAAATTCTGAGGCATGGAGGTATCTAAAGCGGAAGTGTTCGATGAAAGAAAAGTAGCAAAGAGAAGCCTTATAAATACGCGATAAAGATCGCAGCTGCTTGATCACATTTCCATTGAATGCAATTTTAAATAAAGCAAGATTTGAAGTACCGTTGGACGTTTAATGCGTCGTTTCACAGGTAGAAAAATCATTCGGAAAAGCTGTCTTGCTGAGTCGAGTTAACTGAGAAGAGAAAATCAAATTTTCCCAATTTACAGAATACCTAGAAGTTGTGGAAAAGGCAATCAGAGACTATAATACTTCCTGCGCGGATAATATAAAACAGGTGAAATAATTCTAAATTTAATTGGTCTTAGTATTCACGCAAATACACATATGTTGAGGGTTTTGCGAATATGCATAAACTTGCTCTTACTGGTACTGGCCGAAAGACTCTATCCGATCTGTTCAAGTAAGTTATCATACAATTTTGTTCGTTCAAACAGGCTATTAAGTTGGAAAGAAGAGAATGCCTCTTTTTATTTTCTCGTCATGGCAGAGCCAAGCAAGCTCTAAGAAGGCTCACTGTTTTTTGCACAAAGTTATGGCCATGTGAAGTTCGAAAATGGAGTCTAAAAAATTACGACCCCCAGATTGCTCACGAACATACATGCCTCATCAAAGATTCATATGCGCCGTTGCTGTAATTTTTCCTTGACCGCACATCGAAAAATAAAAATTTCTAATGCTTTTGCTAAAGTGATACCGGGCTGCTTCCGCGTAGGTAATTCTTGCCATTTGGAATTCAACCTAGGCTCTCGCCAGAGTGCCGAAGCCATGCCAGCGCTACGCCAGCGCCGAGCCAGCGTTTCGATCGATACACGTGCATTTCGTTGGGGCGGGGTCCTGGCTGAGAACTAGGTCAGCTAGCCCGCTGGCGTAGCGCTGGCATGGCTTCGGCACTCTGGCGGGAGCCTTAACGAACAGAAGAAATACCTATATTTCTCGAGAACTTACCCTTGTAGAAGGCTCAAAATCTACATCTGTTTCCATAAAACCTAAATATTGGTTGTGTATTGTTTCTTGTTGTTGGACAATCTCATATATAAAGCTGAATGTCTGTTTGTCTGTCTGTATGTCTGTATGTCTGTCTGTCTGTCTGTACGTATGTTCCGAATAGAAAATTCCATTTCTGAACCGATCGGGACCAAACTTGGCACACATACACTTCGGGCCCCGGCGGGTGTCATAGGCTACTTTTCGTCATCGACCGATATCGATTTTATCGATTTTTTGCAAAATTTGAGCTACGGGGCTGGGAGTTGGCACGGGGGGGGGGGGGTAATCGAGCATGCTGATTACACCCCTCTGCCAAATTCCAGCCCCCTAGCTCAAATTTTGCAAAAAATCGATAAAATCGACATCTGTCGATGACAAAAAGTGGACTGTGACACTCGCCGGGGCCCGAATTGTATGTGTGCCAAGTTTGGTCCGGATCGGTTAAGAAATGGAATTTCTATTCGGAACATACGGCGGAGCAGGGTAAGCCAGTTATTCTAATATAAACTTTGAGTGGTTTTTCAAATTTCCTCTTGCAATCGTGCTTAGCACAGAGCCCTTTGTAGCCCCTTTGACCGTTTTTTTTTTTGCTTTAAAAACAATATCGAGCCAATTTTGAAATAGCGGGAAGATACAAACATTTTGAAAATAGACTGGAAAAGTTTGGGCCTGATTTGAAATTAATCATAATGATATTACGTTTAAAACAATATTTCCATTATTCTGAGCATTGAATTCTGTGAAACTGAATTACAGATTAGTACCACCCTGGGACAAAAATACTCACGTTACCAGTTTGAATCTGGAGTTTTTCTTCTCTAACATCTATGGACAGTTTCAGGGTGCTGTACAGTATAGCGGAGATAACACGGGGGTTTGTTTTGAATCAGCTTTTCGTTACACTTCACAATGATTCTCTTTCAAGGCTTACGCTGACGGTTACGGTATACCGGAGATGTGCGGCTTTATGACAGATGGGGCCAAAACTCCTATTCAAAACATTGCTAGCTTCAATGAATTTATGGTTAAATTTTATTCGGTAAGCACAGAAAATATAGGTTGTTTAAATGCAAAAGCATGTGATAGTAGAAGCGGTCTGAGATATGGAGTAGATTGAATATAAAGTTGTACGTTGAAGCATAACGACGTGAAGGAATAAAATGGCAGTGATTGACTATTTGTGGGTTGAGGTTAGGCGTAAGAACAACTATCTGCGACTTGCTCTTATCAAGCCTAATTACATTTCTACAAATTGGAAACAAATGCATTTGTAAAAGCTGGTATAGTTCACACAATTACAAGCTGATAAAGTCGTTTATACTTTTTTTTTCACGTAGAAGTGTCCCACTCGGATGAAAACCAAACTCGATCTTAGCACAGTTCATCAATTGAAAAATATCTTGTCTTCATTGTTGACACAGTTCATTAATTGCAAAATGTCTTGATTGTAGGCAAAAGTGCCGTCTTTTTTTTTTGAAAGAGAGTTTTTCGCCACTCCGTGTTGAGCCAAGATATAAGTATGCTTTGTGGTGCTACAAAACATGCATGCATTTTATGACCCACCTGCTATCACCAGAGAAGCATCACCTAAGGAAATATTTTGCTTTTGTTGTGTTTTGTGATAGTTTATTACTTTGGAAAGCCTGCTTGCATCCCTACCTATGCGTGTCCTACTTGGTCTTCTTAGTGTTTTGCTGAAGCTAATTTGTACTCTTTGCCTCAACCAAATCGGCGGTTGGAATGCGGGGGCTCCGTGACCTAATTAAGGCTAAAAAATGATCAGAGAGCATGTTCGCGAGGGAGGCGCAGACTGCGTACCGGACGCGAGCATTCGCCTTCCAGGGTCATGATGGCCCGCCTTCCTGCAGCCGATGTGGTTGAAGCAAAGGGTAGATCAGTCGATTCTTGCGAAATTGCGATCATTTAATCTCATTGATAGGGCGCGAATTTGGCGGTTTCGCAATATATAGAGTATGTACGTACGTTCGCTTTTGTCTTGTAATTATTAGTTTGTGTTTAGCCAATAAGCTTTTTCTCTTTGGTGTCTAGTCGTGGAAGCTGCTGTTCTTCTACGGCACCTATAACAACTAGATCTATAAACTGCCACTGGTGATCCAATGAAATTCTATCTGCACATTACTTTTTGAAGAAAACTGTTACGTATAAAGTATACTGGAAGCTAATGCAATGCTGAACTGATTTTATGTTTCCTTCATCATAACCGTAACTGACACTATAATTTTAAGGGAGAAGAAACGTTTAATGGTACGGAAAACAGTTATTCAAACTTCATCACTAATTTAAAAGAATCTCGGCTACACGGTCCAAGTAAGCCATACATTAAGTTTTAATGAAGATGAAGTGCAAATCATTAACCGTCGGAAACCAGTTACAGTGGCTGAGCTGCATTCGAACAGAAGTTTAGCCGTTTATCGATCCTCACTATTGCGATAGTAAAATCATTGAGTTTGCGAAAAACAGCCATTTATGTTTGCAGAAGCTGGATCATCTTATTTATGGACATGGCAAACTTGTACTGAATTTGGATATTTCCAGTCGTCTGACACAGGATCTGGGATGTTTGGGAGCCCGACACCAGTGAAGTAAGATCTAACTTACGTTCTGGCAGATTTGTTCGCTTGACAAAGGGGACTCGATTGGACCTGCTTAGCTTGCAAGCTTCATGTTGATCTGGGATGCTTTATAGTATACTCAGACAATAACTCGGACGAGCGGGGCGCATCTACCGGGCGAGCGATCATGCCTCTCGCTGCTCGTCCTCTAGAGGCACACAGCCCGCCCGCTAGAGATATAAAGCGGGCGAGCGGAGTATCTTTAGCGGGCGACTATTATACCTCTGTCCACTCTCCCGCTAATAGTACTCCGCTCCTCCGCTCGTACATCAGACAGGACGAGCGGAGTGCCCTTAGCGGGCTACTAATCATGTTTCCCGCCCCCGACCCTCTCTTTACAGAAATACAAGGATCCGATAGCCTGCTGCCTACCGCTTATAGTCTGCAACTTTGGCTACAAACACACAATCTGATTCCTACAAGCATTCTAACGGTCAATTTAGTAGGACGCGTAAGCAACAACACAAAACGCGGTAAACGACACGTGATATTTCAACGACCATATATGAAACAAGATAATGGTAATTGATGTGGATCTGCTTTTACGTTTGGTAGAAGGAAACAGATGTCGCAAAGTCCTTAAAAGAAACTGAATAGTATGTATAAGTTCCTGAATTTCCAAGAAGAGCGAACCATGTAAAAAAGGCCGGGATTCAGCTTTAATTTCGCTTGGATACCCCTTCACTTGCGATCTGAGCAGATACACATTGAAAATACGATTTTGAAACATCGTGATGCACTTGCTTTCAACACGATCAAACGTAATCCTACTTCAACTTCTTTCCCCTCAGACTTATCTTCACTTTTAGTTACCTCTATGCTTTGCAAAAGGACCAAACCTCTTGTTATCGAAAATTCTTCTAGAAGGTCGGCCTTCTGCGTACACCAGAATTCAATCGCTGTCATAGTAAAAATTCGCTTCTTTGTATCCGCTTCTTTCCTCATTTTCCCCTTATGTGGTGTAATGGGTGCGGAGAGAATTCATGTGATTCATCAGCAACGGCTAAGCTCAAATCATTTCATTAGATAGCCATGAAAACAGCATTGACGAAATGAAGAACACTGCAATGAGAGAACTCCAAGATGATGTAAGATAAGGAGATGATAATGATAGTACGCCGCCCATCCGCTTGAGGGGATGTACCGCCGCTGGTCAAATCAAGTTCCGCCGCTCGCAAGCTTGGTAGCGAGGGTGCGCTGCTCGTCCGCAAGAAAGCCACGCGCCCACAAATCAAAGCTCGCCGCTCGCTCGCAAAGTCACTAAGGTCCGCCGCTTTTTGAGTTATTGTCTGATTAGTAAGTCTAAATTGAAAACGTTGAAGAGGTGTACTTAAAGTATGTGCGCCTTGTATGAAACAAATGATTTTCGGCCTCAAATGTTTCGTGAACATATGCAGGCATTTTGTGGAGCTATTTAACCCAGATTTGCGTTAAGTAGCTGCCATGACGGTGGTTCCTTGGCTTTAGTGTAGCCTTAGGCGAATAGCGCCTTGTAGAATGTGTTATACAGAAACACGAAAGCATTTACGCTTTATTGAGACAGGCGACCTGCACACGTTGGTGCTGTGGTAGAATGCTGTAGATTGTAGGCGTGACCAAATAACGTTACAAATATCTGGACAGAAATATACTCGTATCACAGCGGGTCATGCTTATGGCATGACCTTTACGGTGCTTGTACCAGAGTAATGATAAGTTGTGAGGAAGGTGCCGACAATGTCGGCACACTCCCGCCAGCGAAGGGAAACAAATAAGGAACAGCGAAACGAACAGCATAGATGTAAACCAACTAAGAATACAAAGCGAATATTTATCAGGATACCTTAGTAGACGTAGCTGGGGAGCCTGGTAATTGGGAGCGGGATGCTGGTTAATGCAGACATGCCAGCTGGCATAAGATCGCAGAGAAGCAAGTGGAAGTAAGGCAGAGTATAGTGGATAATTATGATGTCCTAGTTTGTCCAAATTCATCAACAGCAGAAATGGAAAGTGAACGAAGTAATGATAATTCTTCTCACTCTCCTTGCATCGTCGCGGGTTTCCGATCAGGTGCCTGTCGATCTCATCATTGCTTCGTCGTTTACCGCTTCCAGGCATGGTGACCTGCGAAGTCGGTATATCATTTTTTGCTGGTATGGCATCTCCGCGGGCCATAAATGTGCGATCCTCGGACTGTTGACAGAGGCGTTCTTCACTTTCCTTGTCTTCCATCTTCGCGGAGTCCATTATGATTGCTAGAGCATCCGTTTCCCTTTCCGCATCAAGCAAAAAATGTTTGGAAAGGCTGGATTGTTGTTCTTCAACTTCTTGACTTGATGCAAAATTTTTGTCTGTTTTTGCATATACTATCTGATATTCTACAGCGATGCTGAAGTATGATATTTTTTCTCTCGCTTTCAGACTGCTTGAGATAGAATTCTCCCATTTGGTCGACTATTGATTCTAAAATTGTCGTTCTTGCTTCAACTTGTGATAGGCAAGAAAGGAGAATATCTAAGTTTTCCAAACATTTCTTTTGAAGTTCCAAACATTTCTTTTGAAGCTCTCTATCAATTTCTAAAGTGAACTTGAGCTTGAAGTTGTAGGAGTCGAATTTTTTGAGCAGGTTTGCTAATGCTCTTGAGTGAAATGAGATTGCCTCTTTGAAAAATTTCAGAGACATTTTTGATGTTCAAAGATTGTTAAGAAGATATGGCTATTTTTGAGCCGTTCGCTAATTTTGAGCAAAAATTGGGAAAATTTAGTCCCTGATGCGGAGGAGAAGGCTGTCGCTGAGTGCGAGGCAGCTTTGGACGCTAGGTCCCAAGGTTAGAATAGCTAACCTTCGTGCAGTCGCAGGAGCGAAGCACTTATCGGCCTTACGAATTTGGCCGATGCACCATAAATATGACGGTGGTTCCTTGGCTTTAGTGTAGCCTTAGGCGAAGAGCGCCTTGTAGAATGTGTTATACAGAACACGAAAGCATTTACGCTTTATTGAGACAGGCGACCTGCACACGTTGGTGCTGTGGTAAAATGCTGTAGATTGTAGGCGTGACCAAATAACGTTACAAATATCTGGACAGAAATATACTCGTATCACAGCGGGTCATGCTTATGGCATGACCTTTACGGTGCTTGTACCAGAATAATGATAAGTTGTGAGGAAGGTGCCGACAATGTCGGCACAGATGCTGACCATTCCCTCGTTGAAGAATTGCAGTTCAAAAGATGTTCACGATGAGTAAACAATTGTAGGTGGGGCGAGATATTCAACGAAACAACTATTTATAAGCAATGCTTTGGAATGAACTTTTCCCAAAAAGGTATATCTTTGAACGAAGAAAGAGCTAGAAAGGAAAAAATATGCGAACTTTCCAATTCGAACAATAAAATTTCCAAATATTAGGTTAAACACTAAGTTTTGCAACTGGTTTCATAACTTCCCTCTCATTCAACATGGTGCACTCAAATTTTGGCATTTCGTAGAATGCAATGTGATCGACAAGTGAGCACAAATTGTCTGAATTTTGGGCACGAAATAGAAAAGTTTCACGCATTTTTCGAGAACTAGTAAAAATTGAGAATTTTTGGGGTTTCAAGCTAGAATGAAGCCTTTAGCAGCCTAGACCATGCGCAGTAATCCGGATTCGTCTACAAATTATTGCTGGAGGTTGACTCCTTTGGCCAAGTAGGAAAGAAATTCAGGGGCATATCGAGATTTGGCGTCCTCACAAAGTCGAACGAGTCGATGTACGCAAGAGCTGCTGGGGATGACCGTCAATGACTAAAGAGTCCGAAGCTCAAATTCGGCCGGGACTTCACATCGTAAGGTTATCTAACCTGCCGAGCGCGAATATCATATTCATTTGTTGATTCAACGCCATTTTCCTTGTTTAGGGTGAGACCCCATATCGTACATATCGTACCTACAGTAATCTTACAAAAAAGCTCTTATCACGGAATTTCACTATCGTTTTCGTGATCAGCATGTCGGATAACACCCCTGTGCCGAGTTTCAGTCAAATCCGTCAAACTTTGAATTTTTCCCCTTTATACCATACACCTACCGTAACCCTCACTGCGACGTCAGAATTTGGTATGACAGCAGCTGCGCTTGTAGCTTACGTAATAACCAACACAGTGGCAGAATTTGAGTGCACCATGTTGAGTGAGAGGGAAGTTATGAGACCAGTTGCAAAACTTAGTGTTCAACCTAATAAATCACTGTGCTTCACGCCTCCGATGGCTAAAAAAGCCTCCCTGGTTTGCCTGGCTTAAAATTAAAAGGTTTTTTACTGCACATAAGATTTTGAACAACTCGTGTGTTTATCTTGGCAAAGTTTGAGTTTCGCGCGCTTGCTGTAATAAGTTTGCCCTGAAACAATGAAGGTTATCAGCAAAGATAGGTACCTTTTGTTCAACATGCTTGACAATATCCCTTTTATTTGCATTTCAAAAAATGAAACACAGCTTGTCTCCAGCATTTCTTGGTGGGCGCGAAGAATCTCACTACCCGCGCCTCTTCTTTTGTAAACAGTTTTTTACACGATAATAACCAACAGCCAGCGCACGCACATGACAATTCTTCCATCTCGCCTCTCTCTTTTTTTTTTTACAAAAGAGGCCTTTTTAATTAAAGTGCCCTTCTCATATGACACCTATATCGCTAAACTCGTCTTTGAACGCTGATTCTAAATCTGCCTTTTTTCTGCAAAACAACTCTGCAAATAAAATTTTGATTTGGAAGTCCAAATTTGTCAAGCCTTAAATGTCATCAAGTTCGCAAAAAGCTGTACAAATACAGTTATGTGAGTTTCCATAGGTTGTGTCCCTTTTTTATAGTCAATGTATATCTCTATACAAATTTAGTTGGCTACTTTCAACTCTTTTTGCATAACTTTTCGCTAATTTTGTGCCACTTGTAGCATGACTTTCGGAGAGTTTCCGCAGAAAAGGAAAGCAGATTTGGAATCAGCGCTCAAAGACCGTGTACTAATACAGGTGTCGTCTGGGAATAACTCCTCATTTGAACAGGTTTCCTTGTTGAGCGAAAGCGGAGAGTTTTTAATGGTTGATTGCGGTTCTGTACGGAGAAGCCCTGACAGCAATACACTCGCACAAATTAGCCTCTTTTTTGGGTAGGGGACGAACTCCGCCAGTTTTAAGCGGCTTACGCTGGCAACTGCTCCTTTTGCAATATGGTCGCATGCCGTTGCAGGACCAGCAGTCCCGCGGCTCAAACTGGCGGAGTTCGTCCCCATCCCCTCTTTTCGACTGCGAGTGTTCTAAGACAAACAGTTCTTACATTACATAAACTCAGACTAAGCTATGGAGCGTAGCGCTTACAAATCAGATTGATTACTAGGACAAAATATTTTGTTCTTTAATTGTCCAATTTTTTTAGCTTATTTACACGTATGTGCATTGACCTATTCGGCAAAGAATATACAGCTATGGCAATACAGAATAATATTGATAGAATTAATCATCAGTACGGCGGTAGAGACTTTTTCAACGTGAGTTTTTTAGTCCAATGCTCGAAATGCTACAGAATAATTATAATTTAAGGGCACGAATGTTGTGATACCAAACGGCTCAATTGATCCTTGGCATGCACTTGGACTATATGAGCCAAATGATCCTTCGGTTGTTTCATACCTAATCAAAGGTAAGCAGACATTGAGCAATGTTAGATGTAGCATATCGAAAAGAAAACTTTTAGGCACTGCTCATTGCGCAGACATGTACCCACCAAGGGAGCAAGACCTGCCAGACTTGGTGAAAGCTCGTGAGATTATAGAAGAAAATATCGATAAGTGGCTGAGAGGCACACCTGAACCCACACCTGAAGTTTCTCCTTCATTGCTAGGTATTGTTCGTTCAGGTGTAGCTAAGGGAATGGCCATAGGTTGCTGGCAATGGTTGCCGAAATTGCCGGGGTTGCTGGCGTTGCCGGTCGTTGTAGGACCTCGTAATAGCCTCCACGTTTCGTGCGCTCTCTAAGCTGTTTCTAACCCCGGCAACGCTGGCAACTTCAGCAACCGCAGCATCCTCCGCAACCTCGGCAACCTTTGCAGGCAACCTATGGCAGTTTCCAAAAGCAAACAGCTTTAAGACAGAATTGTTTTCAGGTATGACACTCCTTGCGATGCTCTTAACGGCAATGGCACTGGCTTTTTGGTGAACTTACGTGTGTAATTGCGCACCACTCAAATAACCGTCGTTTTCATATTAGGTTGTCCCGAAAGTTTTGTCGGTTTTTTTCATCGCTCACCCAAACTCACAGAAAGCCATTCCATGGACGACCTAGGTACCATTCTATTCAGATTTTTGTCCCCTTTCTTATAGCTATGTTTATTTTCTGATCTACGCCGTCTTTGTGATGTTATCGCCATGGCTTTTTGAGCACCTCAGCAGTAGCGTCAAATCTTTCCTGAATTTTCAAAATTTTTATACTGATATTTTCAAGGAGCGCTGGTGACTGTTATGTAGAGCAAACCTTTGGATACATTCCACTTATTTTAGATCACGTGAGCCTCGTTTATTAAGTCCGTTATGATTATTTATTCAGTAAAAACCGTGGCTTTTTGAATAAGTTTACCACGTAAAAGTACCGAAAATTCCAGAAAGCTGATTTTTGAAGCAATTCAAACTTGGTTATGTTGCATAAATAATGTTTAGTAACAATCAAGTTTGAATTTGCAGAAACTTCAAAAGTTTTCTTGCTTTTGCTGCAGTTGCGTTTTTCATGACTTTGCTGAAAATCAAGGCCTCCGAAGAAATAATTTTTTTGAGCTAAACACAGCAGATTAGGAGAATCAAAGAATATCTCCGTAAAGTCCTGGAAACGCTCTATTTGATACTTACTCAACCCTCTCCGAAACTTTGGAAAGAAATTTTTGAAAAATAGCCTAACTTCAAGCAGATAAAAATGGCTGATGAAAAATTTTGGCAATTATCAAAAAAAAAACATACAGGATCGCGGTTCGAAAATGTATCCATAAGAAAGAGAAGAGAAAGTTGCATCGAATGCACTTTGAAACTCATTCATGTGTTGATTGTGCCTGGTTTTATAGTGGTTTGAAGAAACCGACAGAACTTTCGGGACAACCTAATAAATCCTGTCTCAGCTTTACATTCAAAATAGTATTCGCACTTTGAAATTGGTATTTACTGAATGGCTCTGAGCTCTGCAACAAAAATTCTCAAAAATTCGATTAAAGGTCTGAAGAATGATTCAACACGATGTATCTTGTTGTGTACTTTGTATGTCGTATTTTCTTATTTATCGGTACTTGGGTGAAGTTCAGAAGTCCGGAATAAAAATTGGAGCCCCACAGTTCTCATTCGCTCACGGATTTTTTCGCTTATGGTTAGAAAGAGTAATTGGATTATTCAAGTTGTCCCATCAGTTCTTGATTTTCAATCGCAATAATTCACATGCTTTTACTTCTATTAGGTTTTAAAGTGCTTTTCAGTAGGCCAAAGCAAGGTTTAAAGATATGTTCTTGCTTTTGCACCAACTTTGATCCAGCTCAAGCTTGATGCCAGGAAGCAAAGAGTCAGCTGCCCAAAAAATAGAAAAAAATCGTAAATCTCCTGCCCGCCAGGTACGCATGATTTCGCTCATTCGCCCAGGTGCTCATCCCTCTTTCTTCGCTCGAAAGTGACCGTATATTTCTATACCGTGCATCGTACTTAAACTTGTACTTATACCAAGTTTAGCCCCACGACACTGACTTTCTGACTTTAAGACAACACTGACGAGCACCTGGTTTAGAGAATTACTCTCCTCAATTTCTCTAGGGTGTTGAGCATGTCACAATTTCGTTTCATTACTGTCTTTGTCTGTCGTTGCATTCGTGTATCAATAAATAAATAAATAAATAAAACTCAGTCCAAAAACCCTAGAAAGAGCCTAACTGGCACACGCATACACTCTACACGTCACACATTTATATATAGCATTTTTGACTTTTTTCTATAGAATTTGAGAAAACGAAATTTTCACGCATTAACCAAAGTGACGCAGTGTTGTTCCCACATGAGTAATTGTATACTACAAACCTGTAGAAGTACACATGCATCTTTTCGATAGTCTTGAGATAGGGTCTCAAAAGTGAAGGTTGTCTGAATATCTGCCCCTCAAGAGAAGTGAAGATTGTTCATAGAAATTTTGAGAAGAAAAAAGTGAAAAACAGATGGTAAAAGCAAAGAAAGTCTCAAAAATCGCAGAAAAACGCTGCAGTGAATTTGAAATCTTTCATTTGGCGGCATTTTAAAACCCAGGTTTTCGCTCCAGGACCAGGCAATCCACATTACGGGATCTAGTTTTTGATGCGTCCTTTAAATTTTTACCCCCTTGTTGGGAATCCTCAATTTTGTGCCTAGAAACTCTCCTGTGTCAAAGTGGCAAGCGGGGGACTACGAGGGTGGAAGGGGGGGGGGGAGGGGCAGATACATTACTCGATGCCACTAGTAGGAATCCGCGGAATTTATTGAGACGGATGGTACACTGCCTCTTTGCGCCGATTGTCGCCTTCCGCGTGTCCCCTCTCGTTGTTGTTACTGTTTCTTGCGACGTTGTCTGGAATGTTGCGCTCATTATTCTGATCAATAATCGCCCAAGCTGAAAAAACGCTGCGAAAGCACTGAAAGTGAAGAGGGAAAAGAAAAACGCACTTTTTTACGATTTTTCACAAAATATACCTGCCATGACCGAAAAAGTAAGCTCGGCGAGTTGTCTACATTATACACAGAAGCAAGGTCTATCGATTGCACGATAAAACCGCTGAAGAGTCAAACTAGAAAATAAACAAGAAAAGAACACTTTTTGAAAACAAGGTTTTTGCCAGATTTCTTGTTCAGATCAAAAAATGGGATTTTGCGACGTTATTACCGTGAATCTAGAGATCAAGAGCTTCAATATGATATACAGTTTGCTAGGATTCATTTGAAAACAACGAAGAAAAGGGTACCAGAGCCAAAAGCCCCTGCCCCGCTTTTGGGGTAGCGAGGTAGCGCGCAACGCCAACGCGCGGAGACGCAGCCAGCGGAGACAGACCAGAGCCGGCGGTGCATTTGGCTCTGGTCGTAGATCTCGCCGGCTCTTATCAAAACCGGCAATATTATATGTCGTTGTGATCCTTATGACACGACCAGGAGCACTGACCGCGTCGCGGATGTTGAAAATCACTCTACAACGACATAAACCAGCATTTATGTGGCGACTCTCTGCGCAAAAGTTGACCACAGTTTCTCGTTTTTATCGAACTACAACAGCTTTCGTGAATTTCTCACACTCAATCGTAGTCTATAGAAAGATTTAGGATTTTCTTTTCAAATTCCAAAACAATTTTCTGACAAAAACCTTTTTTTTAGCAGAAAAGGCTACCAAAACACAATCTTTATATTTTGTGAGCTTTTCTTTCACTATTACTTACTATACTAGCTTGCCCAAATTAGATTCACTCTTGTATAGTTATGTTATAATATCTAGGCTTCGCCCAGAACGACTTCTTTTTTTTTCTCCAGGTGAGGTTTGTGTTCTATCATGACGCTCAAAGTGAAGGTTCCCAGAGTACATGGCTCTATGTATCGAAGGTATATAGCTTATACGAAGCTGAAATTCACGTAACTACTACAGGTTTGTAATATACAACCACATAAATGAGAACAGCACAGCGTCACTTTGGCAAAAGTATGAGAAACTCCGTTTTCTCAAATTCTAACCGAAGAAGAAATATAAAAATCGTATATTTATAAATGTTTAGTGTGGAGAGTGTATGCGTGTGCGAGTTTGGATTTTCCTAGATTCTTTCTTGAACGGAGTTACGATTTTTTCCGGTTTTTCGGACAGCTAAACCTCATTGGTTTCTGGCCAAGCTGAGCTGGATCAAAGCTGTTGCAAAAGTAAGAACGTCACCTTCTAAAGCTTGCTTTTATTTGTAGAAAGGTACTTCAGAAGTTATTTGAAAATAAGAAGTGTATGACTTGTTGCGTTTGAGAGCCTAAACGGACGGAACTTTTGGTACAACCTGATAGGATCTAAAAAATCGGAACAAGATTTCTTCACAACTTTGCAATTTTGAGCATTATTTCATCAGCACATATCATCAAGCCGAAATTTGAAAAGATGACGATGCTAAATATACAGAAAACTTATGCATTTGTTCAAAATTTCCATGGTTTTTTTACTTCGCATATACAGTCCACATCAGACATACGATTACATAGTTCGTGTAATCTTTCTCGGTTAGAAATCAAGAAAACAAATATTTTCGTGAGATTAAGAGATACTTGGCTCTCCCATATGAGCAATTGTATACAACAAACCAGCTTTCTGCAAACGTTCATCTTCAAGATGCGTAAATTTTCTTTTCTTACCAGTATGTTTTATGCTAAACCAATGTTTTTCAGAAGCTAATGCTTGTAGAGAACTATAACTTCACAGTTGTGCTTTCAAAGAACTATGATATATGAATACTTACGTGGGACAGCACACCATTGTTTAGACAAAAGCGTCTCATTTCTCTGACTTTCAGCTGATAAGAAAATCAGAAACTGTTTAGACGAATGTCTGCTGTATAATGGGTTTAGCTAAAAATTAAGATGAATCAAGGCTGATGTTATAATCTTTTTTACGCTTGATTTGAGCAAGAGTGTATTAGACAGAACATATTTATCGAATAAACCCTGATCAGCACAGTTATAAATGGGACAATTCGATTTTGTTCCAGTTGCGCATTCAACTTTTCAGTTCTAAAACGCGTATAACTCGGCAAGGGGCGTTTGGCAGCTAACGAAGACAGATTCAGCATCTTCGTTCAAATTCTTTGTGGTACAGAAAGTTTGAAATTTTGGATTTTAGCCTTTCCTTGACATAGTGCGTCAATACAAACACGAGAACCAATGGAGTTTCACGTGTCTGTAGCGATCTGATACATCAAGCTCTGGACCATTCTGCATCTGTAGCGTACATTCCGCATCGAGATTACTCGTACTCTTGCGCAAACACTCAACTCGAGAAGTAAAGCCTCTTGTGACTTTTTCGCAGAATCGTTCAGCAAATAGTGAATACACTTTTAACACTAGCTTTTCTTCCTACGCAAACAAAGCCAATTAGGGAGATTCTTTGAAAGTGAAGGAGAGCACGAAGTCTTAAAGCTTTGCTGCAAGAAAACAAGTAATTTGTGAAGTTGCAGTGCCTTGTACATAGAATAATTGCGATTGCGCGCTGCAAAAACTTCCACTTTGAGGTCTAATGAGGTCTAATGGTTTTACAAGCAGCCCTTTCATATAATATAGCTGTGACGCCCATGGTTGATTATTTTACGAATGTGAAAAATACATTTAAAAAACGAGAACAAGCTTTAGTACCCTAAAAGCAGTGGCTCGGAAAAACAAATCATCTCAGAATTTCAATATGGAAGGTTGCTTGCATCCCAAACATCAACGGAGCAGGTTTGAGCGCACTACATGCTGCCCCTGCCTAGAAAGCTGCCCCTAAACCCGTGCGCGCAAGCCATTCCCACACGTGCTCAGACGAGCCTAACGCCTTCCACCGTCAGAGACGGCATGCCGCAATGCTTTCGTGAGGATCCCGCAACGACTCTACCTCTCTAAACATACGGGGGATTGGTCCACTCGTCCAAATTCAGAACGATAGCCCTTGAAAAACGCTGGTTTTCAACATTTTCGTGCTCTTTGAAGTGTATTTTCAAAATCAGTCCGTCGAATTACCCAGGTAGACGAAAAAAACGTCAGGTCGAGGATTTGCCGAGACACTGCCTTTAACCTTGTCGTATACGAACTATTAGGTCGTTCCATAAGTTCGTAGCGTTTTTATAAACCAACAAAATCATCAATTTACAGCAAAAATTAATCAAAATTATACTCCTCGTTGGAGCGCACGACCTTTTGGCACATTCTTGTTAGCTTCCCAACCTCAATTTTTCAAACGGCAGCGCGCCGGGTTCCAAGAAAGTCATTTAACCAGCGCTCAAACTACCTACTGAAATCGAGACAGGCACCATTTATGAGGTTTACCAAAAAGCGGAGCAAATAATAATCTGATAGGGCGAGATTTGGAGAATACTTTGGGTACTGAAGTAGCTTCCAGTCAAATCGTGCAGGACAGTTTTGACGACGTTTGCCGTATGAAGCCATGTTTCGCCATGCAGAAAAACTCACTGGATCTGTCTGTTAGGCTTTTTCTGCGGTAGGACCTGGTTTAGACGGTGCAGTTGGATTGCTTACGGTATGGTTGACCATCGTCTACTTGTACAGCAATTTTCAGTGCAGTAGGTCCTGGCCGCTCCTCGAAAAGTCTTGTTTAGGGAAATTCTGCACAGCTCCTGATCTTTTGTATCAATTTGATCCTTTTTTGTCTCACATTGATGTGCGAGTGCCATGTTCGACAAAAAACCTGCGCAAAAGCGCTTCTTTTGATAAGGAAAAAATGCGCAAATGCCGAAATTGCTCCTTTTTCCCTTTCAAGATTTCCATCTTTGGAAGCTGCGAGATTCGAGTGGATCAACTTTCCACCGAAATTAGCAGGCGTATTTAAAGAGCACAATCAGCCCTTCAAATGATTTACGCATCTTGCCGCAAATCAACCGCTCGTCAAGATATGAGGACGAAAATGAGAACGCTACGAACTTATGGAACGACCTAATAAATGAAATGAGGAGAACAAGAAACGGAACTATAAATCTCAGCGATAATTACTCAATTCTTATAGATGAACAACAATGTAAATGCATGCTTGATGCTGCACTAGCTAAGCCTAATAGAATTTTTTCAGACTCTTTTAGTACACAAACGAAATAATAAAATCTCTGTTTTGGGAAGTGTCGACGGCCCGTTGGCTGTAGTTGTTTAACTATGACCTAAACAAAAGAATCAAAAGTGCAGATAGTGGTATTTGAGCTACTAACTTAACAAGGTAAGCATTTCCATGTGACTATTACAGGCTTATTTATATACTGACACTCTCAGTTATAGGCTTTTAATTTCGAAAAGATTCTGTGTCAAGTGAGGGTCTCGTAAAGCACAGCTTACAATGCTTTTCCCTGCATTATTGGTAAAGAAGAAGGGATAAGCCAAAATAATCTTATTATTGCGAATTGTTTGCTAGCTGCAATAAGGTACCATTGACAAATCATAAAGTGTAGTGATCACACATTCTTAAGTGCTCGTAAAATGGCAAATCACATGTCTTATCAAGTTATGTCATGGTTTTATTCAACAAATTGACCACGGTCTTACTGCTTCCTATTCCCTATTTTTGTTTCTCATTTTTGGTGACCAAAGGCAATTTTTAGCTACCTCTATGATCTATTGTAGGTAAAGTACTAGTAGAATGATTTGAAATTTGCCCGAGGTAATTGCAAATTTGAAAGACACATTTTCCTTTGTTATTGTATTCTATTCACAATAGTGGAGCTTGCTAGCTTGCTCTTCCAATCTGTAAAAATAAAAAAGTTGAATGTTGCTAAGTGAATGCATAGACGGCTTAGGAATGCAGCTTATTTTGCTTACAATTTGTTGTATAATAAAATCAATAGATTTTCTAACTCATAGATAATACCCTTCGGGCTCCAAAGCGAAAAAAAAAACTTTGAACGCTGTTCGTACTTGTTTGAGTCAGGTAGCAATGTATTAGGTCGTTGCGAAAGTAATGTCGCTTTTTTCGAATGAACGCCACTATTCGTGGAATCAAAATTTTTGAAAGATCTTAGGAGCATTCGATGCAGCATTTCATCCTCTTTCTTGTGGTTCCAATTTCACTGCACAATGTTCAATGAGCTCTCGAAAAATTACCAAAATCTGCGCCTCATGCCCTTTGCCACGGTCAAGCTCGTCTATTTTTCTAAATTTTTGAACCTAATCTATGAAAAAGTACAAGTGGCATGTAAAAGAGCAAACACAATAGAACACAGAATAATTTTTTTCTTTTCCTTAGCTTGCTTCTCAGAGTTTCTACAATCAATTTCTCAATGCCATCAAATTCCATATTTAGTCAAGTCAAACCTCACAGAACAACAACCGGCAAACGACTCGGGTGTCATTCGATGCAGCTTTTTCTCCTCTTTCTGGCGGTTGTTTTTTGTTACCGATTCATCAAGTTTTCCGGGATGAAATCATCATAATTCAACTTTTCCAAGGCACCCCAAGGTGTACCCGAAATTTTCGAAAGTTGCTAAACCGAAGCGGTGAATGCTCATTTGGTTTATAAATTGTCGCCAAACCATAATCCATCTTTGTAAGTTTCAAAATCCGAAGATTTGTTGGCGTTTGATGCACTTGTGTCTGAGACGAGCCTGCTAAAATTCGGCGGCATCAAAAAATCTGCACAAAAATTATGACGAGCTCTGAAAAGTAGAAAAAAGTTGTGCTGTTTCCTGTATGGTTTGCTCCATCCATCCATTACTTGGACTCCTTCTGAAGTTTGTTGTAAAATTTTAGAAAAATTGTGAAACTTGGCCATCTTAAAAAAGCATAGGTCGCAGATTTTGACTCTTTTCTGGAAGCTCATTGAGTATATTGCAACAACTTCATAACCATTAGAAAGAGAATGAAATGCTGCATCAATGCTATCAGAATCTCTTACATATCTTTGTTGCACGAGATGTGGCATACGTTTGAAAAAAGTGGCATTACTTTCGGAACGACCTAATATATGTGGCGGAAATATTGAGTTATCGTAGATAAGAGGATGAATTACTGATAGGTAAGAATGCACGTGACACACATCTATTAAAAAGCATATGATAAAAGACGTCTCGTCGTTGTCGTTGTTACGCGAAACATGCTTTCAGAAAAGGAATAGTCATCCATTCAGGTTTTCCAAACCGAGTACTTGAAAGTTGACGATGGTCTTCAAACAAGTATTTATCCTCGTGATACAGGTACGACTCAAAGTGTATCTTGCATGTGTGTTTTGAGGTTTGACCCAAGATGCTGAAATACATGACTATCATAAAATAACTGATCTTATTGACACTTTGACACGCTAAGCTAGAGAACCCAAAGCTTTGTCAAATGCACCCTATCCTCATCGTTGTACAGAATATGATTAAGCGCATATTGTAGCATTCAGGCGCCCGGCCTAGATTTTTTGTCGCATTATTAATCTTGAACCGAAACCAGGGGATGTACGAATCATTATATCTCGTGGGTCGGTTTTGACAAGTGAAGAATACTCAATCGCAGTGACGATTGGGTAAGCAATGTATACCGCGTATAAAGTCCCTAGACTGTGATCTCTAAACCGCACTCCATACCTGCTATGACGTCGTTCTGGAAGAGCTATGAAGGATTTTTGGTGTTGTAGGGTATTCAACTACTAGACTTGCCTCATCACTGCTGTGGTCGTTTGGTGCATGGAGTGGCTTGGACTGCTGAGCTGGATGTCATGGGTTCGATTCCCCTCGGATGCCACCTGTTTTACGTTTGCAAAATTCTTTATAACTCTTTCAGAATGACGTCATAGCAGATATGGAGTGTGGTTTAGAAATCGCCGTGGACGGTACACGCGGTATACACCGCTTACCTAATCGTCACTGCGATTGAGTCTTTCCCTTGTAAAATGTGTAGTTCGTTCCTCACCGATCTTCACTGTTCTGTACCAGTTCTTCTGTTTGTCATTTAGCTATTCATATACTCTAGTTTTCTGTATTCGCATATCAGTCTCTTCTAGTGGTTTGTCATTTTGTGATAAACCATTTATATTTTCACCAGTCATTCTGCTAAGCCAGCGGAATCTGCGGTCTGGACCGTTCTATTGCCACTATATTGTTTTCAAAAAGGAACAGGGCATAGATTTTAGGGCATAATAGCTTAGCGTGAGATTGTGAGCCTTGGGTTTTGAACAAAAAGCGTTTGGTAATATGTATTTCATTGTTTGTTTTGGCAGATCAATCTATTTGTGTAAAATCTGAAGTTCTTTTAATACAGTGTTTATTATAAGTAGTAAACTCGAAATGGTCTAGTATATCGGTTACACTTACTGGTAGCAATTTTCTACTTCTCTATCAATTTCTTATTTCTGTATTTACCAAAAACAATGATATACTGCATATCAGTTACACTTACTGGCAGCAATTTTTATACTTCTCTATTTACCAAGAACAATGATATTTGCATACGTGGGACAGTTCTTGATATCTACGATGTAGCCTCTTAGCATTGTCGTGGGCTATTGTTCAATTCTTCAGCGTCAACTTCGCGATCATTTACGAATTAGCTGCACCCTTGGTAACATTGAGATATGCTTGTTCTGCACCTGCTGAATCGCGGCTCGAGATGCGTTTTACATGTCGACATTTTACACACAGTGGATTAGAGAGCACGGCTTGCTTATTTGATGTTTTGAAGACGCAATACGCAGACAAATTATTCCCAGACAGTATAAAGGCCTTAAATTATCATAGTGTCATAACTGCAAGTTATCATCAGAGACTAAAGATTCTGAGATTATTTGCGAAAAATCACAGCACAGGCATGCCGTAAGCCACACAACTATTGTAATTATAGGTTACCACCAGCACTTCGTCATATGTGCATCTTCTGATTAGCCTTTGGCTTTGTTTTTGAACACTATCACTGATGTGCGTCTGAGCACAAGTATTAGGTTGGTGCGAAGATAATGCGCGTTTTGCGAGTTCTCACTTTGAGTGCTACAACCAGAGGCACCGATCTGGTCGCAATATAGCGCACATCCATCCTTGTTCATATCGCAACGGGCCGAAAAATATTGATTGATAGGCAAACAAAGGTTTTTTTCTGAAACCTCGTTCTTAAATGATCTCAAAACTCCCTTTGAAAAATGTCAGTATGCATGATAAGTAGACTATCTTGTAGTTGCAAGCCAATAGTACATAAGTTGAAAACTCTCAAACAAAGAAGATTTGCGATAAGGAAAAAAATTAAAATTAGAAATCGCCCATCTTAACACTTTTCGAAGGCATTGAAATCTCAAAATATAGAGTTTTTGTTGATGTTCTGGTACATCTTTGCAAAAACTGTCAATGGGAGGTCCATTCCTACGCCCATAAACAAGAGCAAGCTTTGGCGATTGCCTTCTTGAAAGGAAATTTATGGGACACAGACCAGAACGACTACCCTTATTGAGGCGCCAAAATCTCAGTCTATGTGAGTTTAGGAAAATACATTGTGCATAAATCAGGCAATTTTAATTACATACAGTAACTGAATCTTTAGAAGAATGCCGTTCATTCGCGCTTGAATTCTGGAACTTGAGTACGGTTATTCGAAGCTCCATAACTCTTTAGCAGATGAAGCTGGAAGCCAGCTTTACCAAAATTGGATAGACCCTGAAAAAAGATTTTTGACAATTTGCTAAGTTTTTTCCGAAGAAGAAAGTTCGGGTGGAAAAAAGCTGTTCAAACAAAAATTAGAGAAACGCGCTCTAATTTTGTACAAACCTAATATTTATACTTGATGAATTCTTGCTCCAGAGATTTGGTACAGGTAAAAGTTGTAGAAACCTAACATAACGGTGGAGTCTCTGCAGCATTTATGCAATCTGACTTAGAAGTTCAAGCGCCACTGTACTCTTCTACCAAATTTCTTATCAGACTATATCTTTCTTTCAATTTGTTGGTGGTTGGTGGAAACTCGCAATAGAGAACATAGATAGACCTACTCATATTTACAAGTCCATCGGGTTTGAAATGAAAGCCAGAACAGTTCAACATGAAGATACTTGTAAAAGTTCGTAGAAGTTGAATATGCTAACAAATTTTGAGAGATAAGGCTATAAGCTTAAAACACAAAGCGTGAATTGCATCCCATGCATGGCTTCTCTTCTCAGCTAGAATGTCACCATCCAGCAATGAAATCAATATTTGACATAAAGCGCTTTGAAAGAACACTAGTACAAAGAAAGAACGAGGATGTACAAGAGAAGAACGTTGGTATACAAATACGAGTCCTTAAACCAGAGACGCAGAGCTCACAAATGCGTTTACAATAACCGACTTGCCATATAGTCTAAACGTAAATTGCGCTTACAATATTAAAGCCTGTCAAATCATCATCAAAGATGTTCTGAAGGTAAATTGCGCTTATAATATTAAAGCCTGTCAAATCACCATCAAAGATGACTGAGTCAGTAAAATGACAGGACACCCAGTGTGTACGAGTTGCGAAACTAAGGCCTCACTACGGTAATATTACAGAGGAAAAGGGATTGCGAAATGAAGTGCTTTCACAAACGACTTATAATGCCACAGTTCCGTCTCACGCTTTTACCCTGGAACCGCGATCAGTGAGCACGGGACGAGACGAGGTTCTATCATAACACTCAATGCCTCATTGGGGTGGATAATCGTGCTTCGTCGCTGCTTCCCCTTCAAGTAGACCAGAGTCAACCAAAATTTTGCCAAGCTTCTACAGCAACAACGCTGTACCTCTTCCTTTTGCTCCTAATTACACCAATACCAATCAAGCAGTTTCCTTCTCGCTTAGCCGTGTAGTCCAAGCCCTGTGCTAGAACAAGAAATTAGCACGCCAACTGATAAGGGAATGGTCAAAATTCAAAGTGGCCAGTCCCGACAAGCTCTATACCATTGAACACTCCATGGGGCTGGATACGTTTCCGCCTTCATTATCTGCTTCTCGGTCTCCTACACGAAGTTACGGCCCTCGATTCCGTAGTGAGGCCGCCGCGCATCGTAAGTACCATTTGCTCAGATACATCCGGATGCAATTTATAGTGAGCAGTTATGGAAGGCAAAATCAAAATGCTGAAAGCATAGGAGGGATTCGCAGAAGGCACAAGTATAAAATAATTAGGTTAGGTTATAATTAGGTTTCTGTTTATCAGTTTCAGCTCCACCTTTCTTGCTGCTTGATTCTGTTCGTTCTTGCATTGCTATTCATCAACATTTTATTCTTGCTTTCACCAGATCATCCTCAATTCCCAAGAGGATTTGTGCGATAAAAAAAGAGTTTTTGAAGCCTTGAGATGTTGAATTACTTTTTAACCGCGTTAGGAACTTCGCGCTAGCAATATAGATATTGGAAATGGGTTGCAAAAGAGTTGCAAGCAAAAGGAATCGAACTTGCAAACAAAAAAGCAGCTCCTATGAGTCTGCGCACTTACCACTGCGCTAAGGTCCTCCGTCGCCGTTAACTGAGCAACGGGTACTTAAGATGCGCGGCGGCCCCTCGGCGGACTCAAGGGCCATAACTTCATGTGGGAGACCGAGAAGCAGATAATGAAGGCGGAAACGTATCCAGCTCCAGCCCTCCATGGAGTGTTCAACGGTATACAGCTTGTTGGGATTGGCCACTTCGAAATTTGACCATTCCCCTGTAAGCACAAAATAATCATCGAAGGAAAGCCTAGCACAACGAGCGCGTTTATCTTTCAACGTTATTCATAGTCTTACGAGTTGACGTAAGAGTGGTCCCATTGCGAAAATATTAGGTTGGAAACTAAGCTTTGCAACTCATTCAATAACTTTCCTCTCACTCAACATGGCGCACTCAAATTTTGTCACTGTGTTGGTTGTGACGTAAGCTACAGGTGCAGCTGCTGTTCTACCAAATTCTGACGTCGCAGTGAGGGTTACGGTAGGTGTACGGTATAAAGGGGAAAATTGTAAAACTCAACAAATTTAGCTGGAACTTGGCATAGGGGGGTTATTTGACATGCTGATCACGAAAACGGTACTGAAGTGCGTGTTAAGAGCTTGTTAGTAAGATTGCTGTAGGTGTACGATATGGGGTCTCACCCTAAACAAGGAAAGAGGTGTTAATTCAACAAATGAATATGATAATCGCGTTTACCAGACCAAAAAACCTCAGTATATAAAAGCTCGGGGAATTTTGTGGTTTGGACTCCTTAGTCATTGACGGTTGTCCCCAGCAGCCTTGCGTA